TGGCCAGCTTTGAAGTCTCTCTTACGATGACGATGACGAAGTCGATTGTTCACGACTAGAAAGAAATCTCAACAGTTTCATTTGAGTCGCGCTAATAACGAAACGTATCCAACAGATTCGCAACGACAACCGACAGCCGAAAACGATTACAATTACAATAGGCAATGGGAAGGGACGGGACGGGACGGGACGGGTCAGCGAGCAATTAGGAGTCCATCAATTCGCAGTTGTATTAAAAATTAATTAGCAAGGAAACCAAAAACGTGTTACGAATATACGAAGCATAAATATTAAATGAAACAGCGTAGTAAACTGTGTTTACCAAATAAATGGGCAATGATACTTTGCTAACGAAATTCTCAAATCCGCAATCTTATATGGCCTTTAGGCCCATCGAACACTGAAGTGAACCGAATACTCAAAAATCTCCAAGTATACCAAACTACGACCTTGAAAACAAATCAAAACAAAACAAAAACAAATATATTGAGACTAGTCATCGTTCATACAACAACAACAACAACAACAACAACAACAACGAATCCCAGTTAAAACAGTGCAAAAAAACCGAAAAGTATTATTTATTGAAAACAACGCCCCTACAAAAAATACCGAATTTATAATCTAGACATTCAGCGCACATATCTGTACATATGTAATTGAGAAATTGTGGGCGTTTTTCTCTCTCAGTGCCACTTAAAAAAAACGACAATAATAATAATAATAATTAAGTAGAAATTAAAATACACCAAGAAATTGTCGGTGGCATGTATTATCAGACAAGGCCAAAATGTTCGCGCCACGGAATTCATCGCCAGTTGCCATATACGGCAAGGAGGACTTAGCTGCTTATGAGGTACATCCGTTTTTACGACCATATACACACTTATACGACTTGGCATATTTATTTTGGACACATGCATATACCCATTATCAAACATGTTAATACCCTCAACCCCTTGCGAGTGGGTAAAGACGGCTTCTGTGCAAAAGTGTGTGTAACAGGCAGACGGGGGCATCTCTGAATAAACCATATATATAATAGGATAGCATCAATAGTTGATCTACGCATCTCCTTCTGTTCTTCTAACCTTATGTATTATCTCGGGACCCAAATGGGATAGACTTTAAATTTGAGCAAAGGTCCCCTATCGATGTCCCCTTTTCAGGAAATCGATAAACATCGATATCAAAATTCTATTTTATTAAAATATCTCTCGAGAATATTAAACTTTTGATTTCTTTCCGGTTCTTACCAACATTATATTTTAGATTTATTACTTGGCTTAAGTATTTTGACTTGTTTGTGTGGCCCGAATTTAATCAAGAATGCATTATCCATGGTGTGGGCACCACCGCCTGCTGCGCGCGTGCGTGTCTGTATGTGTGTATGTTTTGTACGCATGTATTTATGTCAAGAAGCAGTTGCCAATATTTGTAACAACAGCTGAACGCTGGGTACAGGGTATCTGCTAGTCGTCCTCGACGGACGAGAGTACTTTCATGTTTCGCCGTCAGCTCCGCTTCGACCGACTCGAATCTGGCTAGAGCACAATTTGTTCTGTTGCATGATTTATATGGCCAAAAGTTTTGTCTCCCCATTTGTAATGGGTTTTTGTGGTTTTCTCTCTCAGCTCCATTGTCCGTGAAGTCGGTCCATGTGTGTGCGTGCCTGTGGTCGGGCTAAGCTTTTCATATAGATATTGCTTACCATTTGGTTGAATTGTTGGGCCGTAATTATAGGCAATTAGCCGTTGCCGCTGTTGATACTATTTGTGCTGCATCGGCAACTTCTAAGCCGGATAGGAATGCTTAGACAATGTCAAGGAATCGACTATGCAACAGGTATCAGGTATAGAGCTCAAATATTTCATGGCAACTCTGCATACCATTTTTGCAATTTTTTCAGCTTTTTACCGAGCGAAAGGCTGCCAAAAACTTACTTCAAGCATAAGCATTTTGCTCACGTCCGTCAGCGCTTTGCAGTAGATACAAAGATACAAATGTAGTTATGTGTGCCTATATATACTCTATACGAGCGAACACGTATATAAAGCTGCTCGATGTTTGACTTGACGATGATTTATAAGTATGTCTGTGTATGCTAGCCAAAGGCATATGCGCAAATGCGAGAAAACAAGCCGCTCAGCGCAAATTAGAAATGTAAAAAACGTGTCCACCGAGAGCGAAAATAAAACAAAATAAAACTCTACAAAATAAGTTTGTTTGCTCTAGTCGAGCTGTGTCCGACTAAAGTATACCCTACGCTCAGCAGACTTTATAGATTCGTGTCCCATAGTTGTTTTCCCCTCTTGCCCGACTACTTGACATAGTTTTAAACTCAATAGGTGACAGGAAGCTTGTATTCTAAGATGGATCGACTTTTGTAAATATTAGAAGTTAGAACTGTTTTGACAACTTTATAATACCCTTCTTTCTAATTGGGTATAATTATGAAAAGTTAATAACACTTATTATATATGTTTGCTTCTCTTTCAACTTGTTGTCTTGTTAATTCAGTTGCCTTTCGGTTTTAAACACAGTTTATGGATTACTTAAGTATATCTGATTTAATTGACTGATATTCTTCTTTCTCTCTCAATCAATAGCACTTGGTATAGAGTTTTTTGTAAGTGGTTATTTTTAGCAGCCAATTTCACATGATCCACCTGAAAACGAAGACCTTAAGCCCAGAGCACACATGCATACATATATCCATTGCTTGTCATTGCTGACACCTGTCAGACAAATATTTGCGATCGTACGTCGTAGAATTATAACCGCAGCTTTGATGCTTTGTATCTCCGGCGTAGGCAGCTCTCAAAAATGTGTCACCAGCCCACACGGCGGCACATTCAGTCTGAACCATCAGAATTTGGCACATTTCAACGTGCCAGCGAGTACAGCTGACCAAATTTGCCAAAAGCCTCGGCCAAAGCTCGGACTGTTGGCTTCCTCGTGCACTGAACTTGGTCACAGTTCGATTATGCAACAACTTCTCATATTATTTATTTGAAGTCAACAAACTAAATGGCTTGTAAGCTGCTTCGATTTGTTTTGCCCATGGTCGAAATCTGGCTGATTTATTGGTGCATTTGGCATTTGAAAGATGTACAACAAAAGTGTGCAGATATCTTCCGGGTGGCAAAAATGATTTAAATTTGGCAGACATATGAAAAACTCAAAATTAATCAAAATTTGCGGCAATGATTGAGACGTGTTTTCAACCGATGATTTGCTGAGCAATTTATATTAGAAAACACACAAAGATAGATGAGCATGTCAACATTGAATCAATTCGGCTTTTTACTGGCCCAGCTTTCTTTGTGCATGCTGATTGTCGGTAAACAAATAAGAGAGTAAAAAGAGGCATCTGCTTGACTAGCAGATACCCCGAACTTAGAACCTAGCTGCAGTTAATATTGTAGAATGTAAAAATAGAAATATTCTCAAGCTGTGCCTATAAGGATTGTCGAGTCTAGCTTTAATAATCTTTGAGTTCTTCTTGAAGCAACATGACAAAAAATTGATTAATCAAAATATTATGAATATGCGAATACCCATCAAATATTATGAACTCGTGCGTCGTCAGCTTGCAGTTGATGCTCTTGTAATTGATTTGACCCGGTTAGTGGGTATCTCTTATTCGATCATCAGCGCGAATTCGGTATTGTTGACAGTTTTCTAGCCACGCTAAAAGTGTTTACAATTTCACGGCATATTATACTCATTACGAATGCAAATATCTCAAGTTAACTATAGAATAAACCGGTTCACAACGACCTTTTGCATTGAGAAATATTTCGAAGCTGCGTTGGTGGTGGCAGCTTCAAAGCGAAAAAAGGCGAATAAAATATTGCTCTGAGAAGCGTCGACTTCATCAAAGTCTAGTGTAGTGAACAATATAAACATCGAGCCAAAGGCTCGCACATTCTTCTACTCTAGACTATTGGCCAGATGATCTCAGCCCGTTGTACGATCTGAGTTTGCGACGCAAAATCATGCTACGGGTGTCTAATGAGCATTTTTTTTTTCGATTCTCTTTGCATGCCAGCGAATATTGAACTATTTAATTGGTTGCGTTTTCAGTGCTTCAAGCTGCTCGCCCACACGTCGCACCTATCATTATATGGCCAGTCCGCCAGACTTGTGCAACTGCGTCACGGCTGCCATAAAACACTTGACTCGCACTTCCTGTCCTTATACTTTGTACCTACGCTCCCTGCTTGTATGTACATCACATTAGTTTGAAGTGCAATATTCAAAAAAAAAAAAAAAAAAATAGAGGCTTATAAATGAAGTCATACTTGCGCGTTGCGAGTTGCTAAATTGCCGAGCATATTAAATATAATCGATTTGTGAGCGATCTCCCATTTATCTAACCAAAGGCCATTTTATTATGGGCTAGTATTTCTATGTTCATGCGAAAATAACTTTAAGTTTTATCGAGTTAGCTGCCTTTATTTGTTTTTGTTATTCTCAACGCAAACAACCACTTGCTGGAAAATCGGGGCAACGCCTCCATTGCGTATACGTAATATTACATGTATAAGTGTTTAATAATAATATTCACACAAGCCCGATGCATAGAAACGTGCGAATTGTGCGCGTAATCAAATTACACAGCACATTCCATTGAATAAAATTATGCATGCTATTTATTATACTCTTGAAAAGGGTAGTATAGTTTTCTCGCGAAATTTGTAACTCATCCGAAATATGTAAACTATTCGAACGCATTACGAACTCAGCTGAGTCGATATAGTAATATATCAGACTACTATAAAAGCAATCAGTAGGAAATTAGGTTTTTTATGTAAAGGATTCTGTTTTTATAGATATCCTCATCAAACTCGTTAATAACGAACTGTAAGCGTATTTCATCTTCGGCGCACCTTAAGCAGCCTTTCTTTCTCGCTTTAATAAGTGTTTTAAGCAATCCAAACATTCTTAAGCAATGTAATGCCTGTTTTATAAAACTCTTTTAATTTTTATTGCAGATTAAACTCAAAAGAGTCTTGGGACTGACTGTTTGCAGCAATGCGGCACTCGATGTGTCGCCTGTCAGCGGCCTGCTGGCCTATCCAGCGGGGTAAGTTCTCATCCAAACGAACCTGAACTAAACAAAAACCATAGCATGGCTGGACGTATACTTAATATTACAAGACATTTCATGTCAGCTCTGAAAACTTTCCTTTTACTTTCTGATTAATTCTTGACAATGACTAATCGCATGTGACTAATTTAATCAATGAACTGGCACGAATTCGGAAACTGTCTGTAGTTTGAAAACATCTGCAGCAATTCAAAGCTAAACGAGATTCGAGCTCAGTTCTCAAGTTTGTTGTCAAGACCCGCTGTGTGCTGGCCTTGTGCGACATTCGACATTGTTTTGAACGACCTCTGCTTTTGCTCAAAAGAAAAAGAAGATTTTCATATACATTTTCCGCATATATGTCGCCCCCTGCAGATGCACTGTGGTCCTGTTCAATGCCAAGCGTCACACACAGGCCTATCTGGTCAATACCTCCCGCAAAGCATTCACATCCGTGGCCTTCTCGCGCTGCGGCCGTTACGTGGCCACAGGCGAGTGCGGCATCAATCCCGCCATTAAAGTTTGGGAACTGGAGACGCCCAATGGCAATCTGGAAAACTGCAGTGGCGGCAGCGTCGTTGCCGAGTTCGTGGATCACAAATACGCCGTTACCTGTGTGGTAAGTACACTTATAGAGCTACATATTAATCTGGTCTTTAATTGTACTATTCTGCATAATCGACAGGCATTTTCGCCCACGGGCAAGTACCTGGTGTCGGTGGGCTCCCAGCACGACATGATTGTCAACGTGTTTGACTGGCGCGCCAATCTTAAAATGGCCTCCAACAAGATAAGCTCCAAGGTGGCGGCCGTTTGCTTCTCTGAAGATGGAAGTTACTTTGTCACAGTGGGCAATCGTCATGTCAAATATTGGTACTTAGAGGGTGGACGCAAGGTAACCCAGCCTCGAGTAAAATACATTCAGAGACATTAATAGTTCTTCCACTTGCAGTACAAAGATCCGATCCCGCTTATGGGCCGCAGCGCCATTCTGGGCGATCTTCGCGACAATGACTTTTGCGCCGTCGCCTGCGGCAAGGGCATCTGCTCAGAAAGCACCTACGCCATCACACGGCAGGGACACCTGGTGGAGTTCAGCTCGCGGCGATTGCTCGACAAGTGGGTGCAATGCCGCACCAGCAACGCCAATTGCATTTGCGTCAACGAACGGTTTATACTTGTCGGCTGTGCCGAGTCCATCATACGCATCTTTAATGCAGCCACCTTGGAGTACGTGACGACCCTGCCGAGAACACATTATCTAGGCGTAGATGTGTCCCAGGGTATTCAGATCAACCACATTATGTCTGTGCCCCAGCAGGCCAAGTTTCCCGATTGTATTGCCATGGTTTTTGACGAGCAGCGTTCCAAGGTACGAATTGTCTATCTTACGAAAATCTATATCTTAGTGTTCGAGAGTATCTAAACTTCGTCCGTAGATATCTAAAAGTTGGTCCGTGCTTTTGCTAAAGACTTCTAATTTCGCATCCACTTTCAGGTCAGCTGCGTCTACAACGATCACTCGCTGTACATCTGGGATCTGCGCGACATAACGCGCGTCGGTAAATCACACTCATTCCTGTATCACTCCACGTGCATTTGGGGCGTGGAGACTGTGCCATATAACGTGGAGCGCGAAGCCTCGCAGACGTTGCCGGAGGACTGTTTTGTTACCTGCTCGTCGGACGACACGATACGCGTGTGGGGCCTAGAAAGTTGTGCCAACAATGAGATATATCGCAAGAATATATATTCCAAAGAGCTACTCAAGATCATCTACAGCGACGAGGATTTGCAGTACATCAAGGACCAGGGCTCATCGCTCTTCGACAAGGCCGGCAACTCAAGCTACGACGGCCGCAACGGCGTGCGCTGCATCAAAATCAGTCCAGAGCTACAGCATCTGGCTAGCGGCGATCGCTGTGGCAACATACGCGTCTACAGTCTGGTCAACCTCAAGCTGCTGACCACCATAGAGGCGCACGAGTCCGAAGTGCTCTGCCTGGAGTACTCCAATGAGAAGATTGAACGCAAACTGCTCGCAAGCGCCAGTCGCGACCGGCTTATTCACGTGTTTGACGTCTCGCAGAACTACCTGCTGCTGCAGACCTTAGATGATCACAGCTCCTCCATCACTTCCATTAAATTTGTGGGAGCTGGACTCAACTTTCAGATGATAAGCTGCGGTGCAGACAAGTCTATTATGTTTAGAAGCTTTCAGGTAAGTGTCTGCTGCTGTTTTTAATGCTTAACAAGTAGTTGATTGAACTATTGTTTCCCGTAGGGTAACATCTTTATGCGCGGCACAAACACCTCTGGCAAGACAACGCTCTACGACATGGAGGTAGACTCAAACGCCAAGCACATTCTGACCGCGTGCCAGGACCGTAATGTTCGTGTCTACGGCACTCAGAACGCAAAGCAAACCAAAACCTTTAAAGGCTCCCACTCGGACGAGGGTAGCCTGATTAAACTAAGCCTGGATCCGAGCGGTATTTACGTGGCCACCTCCTGCACGGACAAGACGCTCGCCGTCTACGATTACTACTCCAGCGAGTGCATGGCGCGCATGTACGGGCACAGCGAGCTGGTCACGGGCCTCAAGTTCACCAACGACTGCCGGCACCTCATCTCGGCCAGCGGCGACGGCTGCATATTCATCTGGCAGGTGCCGCACGACATGATTGTCACCATGCAGGCGCGCATGTCCCAGCAGCGTCTGCGCTCCGGCATTGCTCCGCTGCAGCGACCACTGGCGCCTATTTCGCCGCCAGATGCTATCGTGGTCGAGTCTCCGAACAGCGAGCTGGAGCACGCGCAGCTAGCTCCCAAGTTCGCAGTAGCTGAAGAGACGCAGCCCAATCGCCATGCCTACAGGCTGTCCGACGTGGGCCAGCTGCCGCAGTGGGCCATGCGCAAGGCGGCAGAATCGGAGAGCGGCGCGCTGTCCATACCAACGCCTGTTGTTGGCGGCTTGTCGGCTGCGACAATTCATGCGGCGTCATCCATGGGCAACCTTAGCTCATCGCCCAGTCAACAGTTGGGCGTGGCAGCGCCACGCGCTCGTGGACGCTGGGCACAGCGCAGCAGTCAACTGGAGTCGGAGGATCTGCGCTCGAATTCCGAGAGTCCGTTGGGCACAGTCTCTTCCGTGGTCGGCCATAATTTACAAACCTCCGACTACAATAGCGCTTCCTCCAAGGACATCATGTACAATCAGACGTACCTGAGCGAGGACTCGTCCATTGACTCGGGCATGGAGACGCGACGGGATCTTAAGTTTGTTGGCAGCAACAACACTGGCACCATCTCCAACATCTCAGCCACTACCTCCTGCACAAATGCTCCTGCGGCTCCTGGCGTTGGTCAACAGCGATTGCTCCTCGACAAACGCAAGCCCGGAATGCGCTTCGACACGCACACTCACGATCACGACGGCGATGTTGAGGATATCTCGGATGGCGAACGAACCAGCTCTGATCACGGCATGTTCTACAACAATCTGGCACCCAGCACGCCAACGTTAGTTGAACAGAGATGACTTTCATTTAATAGATGTACATTACAATTGAATATATATTTTTTTTATGCACAGCGACTTCAAGGTGACCGCCATGAACGAGGAGGAGCTGCGAAAATCGGTGCGCCGCCAGAAATTTGAAAAGTCCGGCCTTCAATTGGCCACAGCCAGTGGCAACGGCAGCTCCCACACGGCCAGCACCGGAACTGGAACCGGAACATCGGACACCGAGGACGAGGGCTCGACGCCCAGTGCTGAAAATGCCGAGCGCTCGTTGGCCTCAACTCTGGGCGGCAGCTCCGAGAACTTGCCACAGAGCAGCAATAGCTTTCTGCATGCGGCACTGCCAGAAGGCCCTGGAATGTTGTTGGAGCGCGGCACAAGCAGTAAGCGAATGTTCTTTACCCATCGTTTATTTACTCATGTCTCGTTGTAATGCCGCAGGCCGTCGCAGCATCAGCGCCAAGCACAACACGGAGAACGGCAAGGGCGTGTCAGCGGCGCCGACCATCACGAAGTCATATACAAGCACCAAGAAAGAGGAGTTACTCCAGGTCATCAACAAGGTCAAGCAGCAGCTGGAGAATGTGAGTATATACCATCTGGTATATTCAATCGTAAACAGATTTGCTGCTGTTTTTTTTGTTTTAAATACTCATTGTTTTGACGCTGACATCTTGTGTTCCTCTCGTTTTTTTACTTATGTATTTTATTGTGTTGCGTATTGCTTTGGTGTCTGTCTTGGGCACCACTCAACACTTTTGAACGTCAAATCAACTCCCATACGTACTTAAATCCCCGACCTTATATATGTAGGGCACGCACAAAAATGGTATTAAAAAATTAAATACCATAGCCGAGGTGAGAAACCGAGTTATCTTAACTGCTTCTGTTGCTGCTTTACGACTGACACTTGCCTTGTTTCTATTGCATTCTCATTAAACTAAGTATGCAGAGCTGAAGAATTTCGGCATCTCATTTAACGACAACTAATTATTCAAGAGATACTTAACCCAACAGCAAATACATGACTTAACAAGAAGTGCTTTGAATTACTCCCCAAAAATCAACTAAAACTTAGACAGGATCAGCTTATTAAAGAGCTTGGTTAAGAGTCCGACTGACGGAAAATTGCCAAGTATCATCGAGCCTTAAAACCAGTCATGGCAACATTACCTTAATAGCCTCCGCAGGGGATAATACAAATAAGAGAACTCCAGTTAAGAGTGCTCGACCACTTAATACCCTGTACTCTAAACTGCTGTCACATGCATTCGAACTTTCTGTTCTATGCAACACACATATTTTCATTCTTGCTCCGCATCCTGCTGTCTGTGCGTCGGTCCGTATCTATAAGAGGTGGCTTTTAAAACTCACAATTAGACATAAAGAATAGGGTTTGCGATATCTATCGGAAATGGAGAGAGATATTCAAAATACAGATAACATTTGTTTCTGAATGTATAATATTTATTCTTAATGTGTTTTAATTTTCAAGCTCTGATCAATAATATTTAAACATTTCGAGGTCGAAAAAGCTTTCTTTTGCCTGTTAAATATATTTTTAGCTTTTACATATCTCATCCAGTTCCAAGGGGAACAGGGGTAATTCATTGGAGGGCGACTTTAAAGGAGATACGATTTTTGTTGCTTACTTTTAACAGCTATTTAATCCCCATGCAACATTGTAATACCATAAAAAGCTTGTTAACAGTTAAGTTCCTCAGTTCTTAACATAATATCAACACTATGAAAATCTGAAAAAACGTATTTAACTATAACTATTTATTGAAATAATATTCACAGGTCGGCCATAGACCCCTGCGAGGCAGCCATAGCATTTCGGATCTAAGTCTTGCGGGAAACTTTGATGGATCGCGCAATTCCGGCCCGATGCGCTACACGAAGCCAGGTGAGGATCGGCTGCTTGGGCCATAAGCTTGTGTGGATATATATATACCGTTAAGAACGTAGGCTAATTCGTCAACTTTTGCGATATTCTGCTTGCCTCGTCCACTTTCTCTCTCTCTCTCTTTCAATTTCTTTGTCTCTCTTTCCCTATTGCGCGCACTATGGCCTCAATAATGTTGGTAAAAAAAAAAAATCATTGATACTTGCATTTGCTGTTAACCTTGTTGAATAACCCCACTAGCTGATTCCCACGATACTTCACAGTACATTAGGTCCACAAGCTCATCCACTGCAAACGCATCGCCTCAGCAGCTTCCGCTTCCGCCTCCACAACAACAACAACAACAACACGCTCAGCATTATGGCTGCTCTGTGCAGCACTTCTTTAACAGCGCCGCTTCCAAGTCGAAACTACAACAGAACTTTCAAACCATGCGTCAAGTGCAGCAACATTATCCGCCCTATCCGCATCACGTGGGCGTGCATCAGATACACCCGCCACCGGGCGTTCCATTTGGCCACAACAATGCCGCCTACGTGTCCGCCAGCTCGGCAGCAGCGAGACAGGGCACAGCGAAAACAACGCCACGGCGCAATCCGGCGGGAAACAATCGGCGTACCCCGAGCATTCTTAAGCATTACAAATCGTGTCCAGTCTCGCCTGTTCACGAAGAGGTGGAGTGGTCGGCAGAAGCGGAGCGAGTCGCACCCGCCGAACCCAAGCGACATTCGGTGTACGCGGACGACGCACGCACAATTCTGGACATGATTCACGCGGACACCGAAAAGATGATTGACGAAATAACGCGCAAGTACGGTGATCTTGATGAACCGTCCAGATATGCTGTTCTGCCCGCTTCCTGCTCCGTGCCGGCCAATCTGCGCGCCTTGGACTCCACCAGCGAGTCCACGCCAGCGGCGACTCCACCACGCGCCCAATACTATGTCTACCGCGAAATCTATCAGTGCGAGCGGAAAGTGTCGCTGTCGGATATTCTAAAGCCAGAGCAGTTTACTGAGACGCAACAGCGCCTGGAGGAGGCGCGCTTCCTGGAGACACAGCGCCACTCCAGTGCCAGCTTCTTTCTGAGCAGCTCCGGCCAGCTGCCGCACGAGCACAGCCAGGAGTCGCTGCTCTCCGATGGCGGCAGCTACTGCAACAGTCTCGAGAGCGTGCTCTCCGACGAAAGCGACTGCAAGAGTGCACCCCTTGAGCCCGCTCTAGACCAGCAGCGGCCCTTGCAGGCGATGCAGTGCCACGCTGGCATACGCAACTTTATTCTGCACGGTCCCGTCTCCAAGTCGTATGGCAACAGTCCCAATGCCTACGGCAGCTTTGACTACTACATGCACCAGCAAACGGCCGCTACAGCGGCGGCTACTTACGACAGCTTCGATGTCACCGGCTACAACCTGAAGCCGCTGAAGCCGCTGCCCAGCTCCAAGACATTCCCTCGCCTTGCCTCGGTCGCAACAGGAACTGGCGCCGTGGAGCACATTCCCACAATGCGATCTAAGAACAAGCAATACAATTCCGGAGTCAATAAGAGTCTCAGCACTGACTTTGCCCAACAGCGGCAGCAGCGCAACTCAAATCCCCTGTCTCAGTCCCACTCGCAGCCCAGTCGCTATGCCCCAGCCCCAGCCCCATCGCAATCCCAATCCCGATCCCAACCACCTGCACGTCCCAATAGCCAGCTGCTGTTTGTGCGCAAGCAACTCAAGCCGAAGCCTCCCATACCAGCGAAACCACACAATCTGGTGTCCACGCTCACATGCAACGTTGAGAAGAGCCAGCCTTGCGTGGGCACCTCCAGGACGGCCACGGTGGTGCGCCAGTTCGAGCACAATCTGCTCAAGTTTGAGCGCGAGAAACAGCGCACACAGCATCGTCCGCTGCCCGCGATGAGGTACTCGGTGAGCAGCGGCGCATTGGCCACGCCCAGCTGCCTGAAGAAGGTGTCGCGCTTCGACACCAGCGAGAGCAGCCGACGCGCCACCAGCGTGCGCCAGAAATCACGGCCCAAGATCAGCGTCCGTTTCAATACCGTATCGCAAATAAAGTACACGCCCAGCGCAAAGCGGGAGCGCGCCGGCCTCAACGGTGTCAACAGCAATGAAATTGAATCGGAGGCGCTGGAGGCGCCGCTCGTGGGCAGTCTGCCCAGCGACTATGGTGGCGAACGCAGCTTCGAGATGTACTTCGCAGAGAACGGCAATGCGCCGGAGAATTTGGAGAATATGGAGAATATGCAAAGCTTGAAGCTGTACAAGAAGCCCCAACTACAGGCGGTCGTCGATGATATTCAACAGGAGCGCGCCAAGCACAAAAAGAACATGGACAATGTGGTGCGCTCCGGTGGCAATTCCACCAGTCACCAGTGCCAGAACATTGCCAAGAAGATAGACATCATTGAGAAGCTAATCGCCATGGAGGAGCGCAAAATAGAGCAGATACGAAAGGCCACGGAGACCCGACTGCGTCCCTTTGCCTGCAATTCGAAGCAAAAGGGCTACGTGAAGAGTCTGACCATGAACTTTGACATGCTGGCGCGTGCCCAGGACCAGCATCATCTGCAGCTCGGCGAGCATATGCCCGCCACCGATGCGGATCTGTGTGCCTATGCGCGTCACATACGCAGGAACTGCAGCCTGCCGGACGTGCTGGAGAGCTCCGACTTTGGCTATCATCGCGCCCACGGCAACGGAAACGACGTGGAGCTGGCCAAGGAAGTGATTGCCGATGATGACGCGACGGCAAGCACTCAACGATGTGGCCATCTTGACTCCGACAGTGAGCAAATGGACACCGCGAAATCGAATGCTGACGATCCTCAGGGGCGGCTGCTGCACGGGCTGCCCGTCGAGCATCCACAAGGTTTGAGCGTTTCAGCCTCGTTGTTGTACTACCACAGAACAATTGCACACAAATATTCTTTTGCTCCACTGAATCATTTTGTACTCCTTCATGATCGCGCACACATTTTGTTTTGCTTATCAGTTGCCGCGTCCTTTATTACACAAAAACCATATAAGAAGCACCTGCCCGGCATGTGAGACCCCCCATTAATAACCGTGTACGCCTACTTACAGGTAATCCCAAGTTGATCAATCCCATCCCCATTGAGGAGTCGTCGATTCGTCGCGCCTGCTCGCTGAGTGATCTGCATATGGGAAACTTTGGCAAGCGTAAGGGCCACGAAAAAACTCTCGCTGTTTCCGCAGCTAACGTTAACGTTTCATATCCGTTTTCCACTCTTCTACCCTGCAGCCAGCAAGTCCAATGGCACGCCTCAAAAGCCCACGGCCCAGCATCGAAACGGCAACATCGCTCGATCGGCCAGCAAACGCAACAGTCTGCAGGGAAAATCCGGCCTGGGCGCCTCCAGCAACTCCATGAACGTGCTCAATCAGGTCGTAAGTAACAAATTCAGCCCCTAACACTTCATTAGAAAACATTAAAACTCTAACACGATCCTTTTAGAGTGACTCGGAGACGGAAGACATCAATCGATTGCGCAGTGCCAACAACGGACAAGGTCGCAACAATGGAGCTGTTGGTAGGTTTTTATCACATGTATGCATAGCAGGAATTTCGGATGCTAGTCGTGTCCCATCGACTGGAGCACTCTTTATTGAAAAGGGGTTATTGACCCAAAGTTGACCATTTCCAACTTTAACCCATTTCTTTTTGACTTCTTGCAGCCGCCTCTCGACAATACGGCAACAAAATCACGAACGCCAACAGCAATCGACGCAAAGCGCCCAACTTCAACAGTGGTAATATTGTTAATTGCACATTTGACTACAATACCCTATAACGCAGTTCGATTTTGATTTATAGGCACAGCCCTGCAAGATGACTCCAGTTCGGAGGAAACACCCAACATCGCCGCCGGCAATAAGCCTGTCGTGCCGCCCAGGCCTCGAAATTTGGGATTCGATCACAAGAGCAAACTGAACAGCAATACTCCAGCCACTGCAGCCAAGCAGAGGGCCGGCGGACTTGATGACTACGAGTCCGCTGATTGTAAGTAGTAAAAAAAAAGACAACCACAAGGGTTGCCCAACTGGGCAATACTCTGTTCACAGTGAAAAAGAAACCTTCTTTTTAATAATGAGGGATAACAAATATAAATGTCTGAAATTCATCAGGGCAGGCTCTTAATAGTTTTGTCGCGCTCTAAAAAGTAGTTCCTTAGTAGTCTACCTGTCAAATAAGTAGACCTTAACTCTACTAAGTTATATAGATCTAGCCGAGAATACCCGAACCATATTCTATACACATAAACACATATTCTTCGCCAGCCACACCGAGAAATTTTCAGTCCGTGAATAATGTACTCAACTTTGAGTATGATTAGAAAGCAAGTAGAAATATATTAAGAAAATATAATAATCTTTTTTTTATAAAGCGAAGATAATATAAATATAAAAATAAAGTCTAATCAATGCAATCTGTTTAATTGCATATGTCACGACCCAGCCGAGGCGCAGGTGCACAATGTGATCAACAAGCTTTACACGACTACGCAGACTGCAATGCAGCTGCACGCGAATCTGAAGAACTCGTTGTTACTAAAGGAACTGGAAAATGCTGTGATTATGTCTCGCAATATGCTTGGCAGTATAACTCACAATCGGTAATGCTTAACTTAGCCAATAAATAAGGAAAAATTGATTTGCGATAACTATTTGTAATTATTTCAGGCAAACTGATAAAGCGCCCTCGAGCCAAAGCTACAATCATAGCGGGGGAGGAGCTGAGATCGGAGACGGGCTCAGTCGTGAGCAGATATCAGCCACTGGCAATCTGGAGAATGGCCAATACCTTATGATGGTCAATAACTGTGCCGATCTGCTAAGCAATTTACGCACCAAGCACAAACCCGACGACTGTGAGAATAACTCCTAGTGTGTAGCGCTTATACTACTTGTTAGGTTAACAATAAATGGCAACTAAATGGGCTAAAACAAACTAATATTTATTAAATCTAATTATCTAAATCACTAAACCGGCAAATGGCAGAGATCAGCAACAAAACTAAAATCAGATCTAACTTATTTCTAATTGATATCCATAATAGTTATTGTAAAGATTTAATTTGTTTTTAGTCAAGCTTTGTAGCTCTTAAGTATTTGCGTATTTGTGAGCGTGCATTTCTTTAACTTTTTCTTTTTTTTTCTTTTGCCTTGGCCTTTATTTATAGAAAATTCACTTTTGTAAAGTTTGAATTGAATTCTTAGCGCTTTAAGGTTAATAAGCAATTTATATTTGTTAAGTGTTATCTTAGTTACGTTCGTCTAAAACGGATGCCAGGCGTGTCAGAATTGTAAAGAACGCCGAACATTCTGTATGTTTACTTTTTGTTTTTTTTTTCTCTTCCATGTTTACAATTTAGTCATGGGACTAACCCATGCCGAAAGGCAAAAACCATCGGATTATTGAAAAGTGTTAGCAAGAAAATGCAAATGTTGTATGCCAATATTTTGCAACTCTTTATTTTATAAACAAGCATACAAACATACATATATATATATATACAATGATCAAGTGCTTCTAATCGGCGGATAATGGCAAAATTATGGTCAAATTTACATAATTCAATTCTAAAGCACTATTTTCTGTAAATTAGAAGTTCATTATTTGATTGTATTTCAAGCACCTATACCTAAGCATTGACACTAAATTTATAAAAATATAATTACACTCTACATTACAATAATTTACAACTAAACAAAATGTATTAAAATTAACTTAACCTAGAACAAAACCTAAAATGATTATTTATCTCCACATATGCTACTCACTCTAAAACTATAGATTTGTAATTTGATCGAAAGTAATACAAAAGTATAATTTTTAAAAATATTAACTTTCTATTTTTATCGTTCTTCTTTTAACTACTAAAATTCCACACTCCAGGCACTGTGTAAATTCAATTTTACATTTATCTTTCAAGTTTGCTTAGGGGCTTAACAGATCTAAAGAATGGCCTCGATCCATGCCGAAAATATCACATTTGGTATATATGTGTGCACATATACTACATATAAAGTGTATTTTGTATGATGGGTTGCGGCAAAACCTAACAATATTTTAATTCGTTAAATCGTAAGCAAACTAATATGAACTAAGAATAAAAGCGAAACTTTTAATTGTGAGACTATAAAATATAATAAACTAGCGGGTATTTCCCGGCCTTGCCCGTGGCAAGTTTTGTGCTTCAAATTTTATATATAATACATTTTTCAACCATTTTCCAGCCGCATAAGTTTCAAATCTACTATACTAACTTTATGTTGAACTTTACGTCTAAAGTTATATATTGCATACATATTTCATAATAAGCTAAAAGTCCTTGAAATGAAGAACATAAAGTCGGAATAAACGCTTTCCGGCCATATTAGTCTTGTGGTGAGAATGTTTAAGGCGACAAATAATCAAACAAAGTTTAAATTTTTAAGCTTGTTAGTATATTATACAAGTACCTAAAAAACAAATTATATACCTTAAGCAATGTGATTTATTTAAAAAATAAGGTTCAAATTAAATATTGTTTGATATTTAATACTTTGGAATATCTAGAAAAAAATATCATAAAACAGAGTTCATGTTCTAGCTCGCTTCTAGATTTTGTACGATAAGTTTTTTCATATAAGCTAAGTTTGCTCTTTCAAGTCCTCCCATGAATAACTCCACCCCGACTCCTATCGCTACACTTATTCCATAAATGTCGAATTAAAAGAGTTCCGATAACTGTTAAGCATTGTATGCTGAGGGCCCAGCTATGTTTCATGGATCATAAACTTTAGTTGCGGATCGATAGAGAAATTGCAACCTGTTAAGTCTGATTGCTCTTCTAGCTGGAATTGCAATTGAAAAAATGCCTGCTTGCGACATATCTAAAAGTGTTTATAGTCTCATCTATGTTTTCCTCAGAAGAGGCAAGATACTGTATAGTAAGCTCGGACTGTCTTCTCGACTATATTTCTGTCGACTCATAAGCAACGTGAATTCGTCTTGGCCTTAACTGTCGAATATCTTGTATCTGCTCCTAGCGGTCAAATAGTCGGTGATCCCAGTTCTTGCTGCCGAGTGTCTCCGCTTCCCACTCGCCCACTCAACCTTACTTATCGTAACCGTCATAAGTAGGAGCGAATTCAACAAAGACACACTTAATTGTTTTCAAAATCTAGTAGGCGTAACATGTGCACACACAAAAACTCAAATATCCAGTAACCAAAAGCAGCTATTACTGGTATAAGTGAACAATGCCGTTTTTGAGGCGTAGTCGCAGTGAGGATCTTACATTTGGGACTGATTGGGATGACGATCATACACGGCGGCACTTTATCAGTAAGGTCTGCAGTATTGTTGCCGTAAGTGTGAAAACGTATAAAATATTTACGCTATTCAACTAAGTTCATGCAGATGCAAATGGCTGTAACAACAATAATTACAGCCATATTCCTGTTCGTCGAGCCAGCCAATGATTTGTTAATGGAAAATCCATATATAAAATGGATAGCATTAGCTGGGACTTTACTCACCAGTTTAATATTAATTTGTTGTAATTCAGTCGCGCGAAAAGTTCCAATTAATTATATATTGTTATTTGTGTTCACCGGGTTTATGGCTCTCGGAGTCAGCTGTATGTCCATTTATTATACAACTCGGTTGGTGAGTAGCACATGAATTTAACCTAATATCTAATAGCTAATGTACTAACTAATTTAATCTCTCCAAGATCCTATACGCTATTGGAATCACGCTCGCCATTTGTATAGCACTTAGTTTATTCGCGATTTTTGCACCATGCGACTTTACTGGCTGGGGCCCATACTTGTGCGTGCTGTCGTTAGTGCTTGTGTTAATGGGATTACTTGCGTTCTTTATAAGAAGTAGAATCCTGTCGTTGGTCTACTGTAGCCTAGGCCTAATAGTATTTTCGCTTTACCTTGTGTATGATATACAATTAATGGTCGGCGGTCGCAGGAACGAGTTTAGCGAAGATGATTATATTATTGCCGCTTTGGGTATTTACATTGACATTATTTATATATTCATTATGATTTTGGGTATCTTAGGTCTAGTTGATGCCTAAGTTGTGAAATTCGATGTCTGTGCAAATAAAAATCCACATTTACGATTACTCACAAAAAAACTGTTTGAACATGTCTCGAGTGTGCGAGAGTTCCGTAACATAAATCCTAGCTTTTCTTATGATTTATTTCAGTTTCAAATACTTTGTGTAAATTGATGTGATATGCATTTAACACTTCTTGCGAAATCCGCCTGGATCCCCTTGATCAAGTGTCAAATTTGTAAGACAACGTTTTTAGATTCGCCCGATAGACCTTGAACTAACTAACAGGGGTAAATTGATAAAACTACATTTTTTGGCATCAAGATTCTCACCATAAGAAGAACTCAAGGGTTATTTTCAAATATCTCTTAATGCAATTACTTCCCGTTTCCACGATATTCTCAAAAATAAACTAGGTTTTGAGCAAATCTTTTGCGCTGGCCTGTTGTCAAAGAAGAACAAAAATATGTCAAATTTTACAATGAAACTAAAATTGTAATTGTTTACCAAACTTTTAATTTATTTAAAATTTTGTGTATACATGTTGTTTTAGGTAATTTATTTAATACATTAAAGCTTATAATTAATAATAATTAAAGTTTATAAGTTCGCAGCTCCAAACTCGAAATCTACAGAACCAGCCCAGGTAGCACATTGAAAAAAATGTCCCTATCGAAATGGGCAGCCTACAGGAGAACTAGCTCATTGGGAGAAGGAATGAAGCAGCCAGACGTTCAGACCCGCAAACAGCACATATTAAATAAACCTGCATTGGATCTCATTAGAGGTCAAAAGCCTAGAACCTTTCGACAATGATCCATGGTCAATAGAGTGTATCGCTCGTATGTCGATTTTGGAATGGACGAAGCGCATGGCAACATTCCCGACCTGAAACATGATTTTCAAATTAAGATTCGACCGATACATGACAGTGGAATCGTTATCCGATAATTGAACCTCTAAAGAACAGCTAGTACATGCAATAATGGCCATGATATAAACGTATCCTTTTTACATTACATTATGAGATGGCCAGTCACACACAGTAGGTGTGCCGCAATAGAGCTACTATTAAAGCTATCCAAGAGCTGACCAGCACAGCAGGTGACACCCTGCTTGGTGCCCAAATTTCGACTGGAGTCGGACGTGTTCGTTTTAAACTTTTTGCCTAGACCCTGCCACCATGCCATATGTTGAAGGCAATTCAATGAACTGGGCTGCACGTGCTAAAGGCCGTACCAGCGACTGTGGCTGTGCTGGAGTTCATACTCCGTATTGGACGTCTGCTGTCCATGGTTGTTCAGTTCATTGTTGACCCAAAGCGAAAGTACTCACACTCGTCCGCCATTGCCATTGATACATTTACAGCCATTGGCGCTCAATTAAATTGTGTCAATATTGAGCTAAGCGAAAACCTGACCGATAAGTTCCTGCCGGCAGAGTTGTCAAAAGGACGTCAGACCTTAGTCGATCTCAGGGACTAAAACAGTTGGAATCGCCATATTTGGTATACAAGCAAGATTTCCTCGTCCGACTGGGTAATATACCCAGCTTCGTTTCTTAAACTTGCAAAAACAAACAAAATAATATAAATATTATACAAAATAATATAAGAATATAATAAAGGTATAATTATAAACTTACATATATCCAATTCATATACACAGACAAATATTCGAGATGAATTGGCTAGTTTGAATATCTCGACGTACTGAGCAAAAATACCATATATTTACTTTCTGGAGTCGGGTTGCTCATATACGTTTTCACAACAACATTATACCATAGACAATCTAAAGACTCTAAAGTGTTTATATTGCCTTTGATTATACCCTATACCTATACGCTTCCCATAATGACCGAATAATGTCCGACAATTTTCGACTCGTACGAATCAGTACTATCGATTGGCATTAAAAAATGCATTTTCTTAGTTTCAGGCATCTAAGGCCCTGATTAGATGGACGAGGGCCGGTCTCAAAAACTCCATATACATATATATTCTCCAATACCATACGCGGAGCGGGGTTGAGGATATCTCCTAGTCGGCACACACAAAGAAGGAAGTCTAACTTGTTTTTCTTTTGATATTCGAGATAGTTAGTTAGTTACTCTACACATATAGATATTCGGACAGCTAACAAGTAAGTTATTAATGAAACTTTTATGTACGTTATTAAAAACACATTTTTCAGACTAGGTTATACGGCGCCTCCAAGTTGAGCATTCTCGACTGAAGGGTTATCTTAAGTCGCATACTTTAATGTGTGCATTCAAATGTTCTTTAGACGCATTCAAAGATTTGTATAAGAAAACTATGGTAGTACTCTAGACCTGGTTGAACAAGACCATCGACTAAAGTATTCTACTTGTTACTTGCGCATCTGGTAAGCATTTTTTATGTTGCGTGCAAGTGTGGCCGAGGGTCTGAAACACAGGCAGTTGTTCCATTTCCCAGACCAGAATCAAGTGACAAGATAGAAGCTATGGCAATGTGTGGCGATGATCTGATGATGCTCGGCAACACATTGAAACGCGTTCAACTTGATGTAACGCGACTCAATTAGTTCGGTTCAGCAGCTTCCAATGCAGATTTGCAGCGATCCGGGATACCATCGCTGTCGGCATTGTCGCCGGTCGCAGTCGTCAGCTTTATGTCAACTCCTTACACGCTTTTTCACACCAGGACACAAAAACGCCTTGCTGCCCATTTGTGCTGCCTGACGGGCCATGAATATGTTTTAAATATAATATGGCCCGTGCAATATGGTCTGGCTTTTATGTGTTTGGCTTTGCGATTTGGCATGACGAGCTCATGGCACTGTATCCATTGTGAGCATCTCTCTCTCCCTCGCACGGATAAATGCCGTTTCACGACTTTATTATGTTTATTAATTAGTAGATAACTGAAAAGATTCCTAGCATACGTGCTTTTGAGCTTCTATGCTTGACTCCTGCGTCTGCCAACAAGTAGGAACGTTTCAGTCGGGTGTAACAGGCCTCGCTATGCAATATTATTATTATGCATGACCAAAATATCGCATGATATTCAATTGTGCATATATATCCCTAAATATGCGTTCATACAGACTGACAGAAAGGCGGATGGAGATAGAAAGGGGCTTGACGGGATCGTGATGCAAACAAAAATTGTATACCCTGAACCCATTAAAAATGGGTATAAGGGTATATTGTATTTGTGCAAAATCCAAATGTATGTAACAGGCAGAAGGAAGCTTCTCCGACCCCATAAAGTATATATATTCTTGATCAGCATCAACAGCCGAGTCGATCTAGCCATGTCCGTCCGTCTGTCTCTCCGTCTGTATGTATGAACGCAAGGATCTCAGAACCTATAAGAGCTAGAGACTTGAAATTTTAGATGTAGATGCTCCTAGTTCCCGCGCAGATCGAGTTTGTTTCCGATAATCGATAACTTACTCCGTTTCCAAGCAATCGATAAAAATCGATATCGATATCCTGTTTTTTGGGCAATTTTGGTAAATAATAAGAGCTAGAGTCACCAAACTTGACATATAGCTTCTTAAATAGTATATATTTGATGTTGGAAGAAGAGAAGGGAGTTCCCGACTAGAACATATCTCCGCGCGAAGTTATGTCGTTTTGGAACGTCATATCTCCGCGCGAAGTTATGTCGTTTTGGAACGTCATATCTCCGCGCAGAGTTATTCGTACGGATCCCTACTATCATATGGCATTCAAAGAAATTAAAAATTGATGGGTTGGAAAAAGTTGACCAAAAAACGTTTCGTTGGTATAATAAACCTCTTTTGTTGATTTTTTTTAGACTATCTCGGCCAAGTAATCTCCGAGTCGAAGCATTCGCCAACCCATACAAGAGACCTCGCTGAGAGGTGTGTAGTCAGAAGGCTCAAGAAAAGATCCTTTAGAGACCTCCTCCAACCACGACACAGGAGAAGCCCCAGAGCCCACCGACTACCTACGTGACGGTGCAGCCTTACTCAAAGAAGACGGCTTTGACGTTTGTCCACGATAAAGCCTGAGGAGCCAACCAGGATTGGCGAGATACCACCTAAGTGAATGGTTTTGTAATAAAAATGTATGCTATTTTTTGATTTAATACAATAAACATATATAAGTTAAAAAAACAAACTTTTTTGACGATTTTTTGTTGGACTCTCGGGTAAATATATCCTGTTTTTAAAATGTTATGCCTTTTTGAATTCGTACGGATCCCTACTATCATATGGCAGTCAAAGAAATTAAAAATTTATGGGTTGAAATGAGTTGTTGACCAAAAAACGTTTCGTTTGTAAAATCAACCTTTTTTGATAATTTTTTTTAGACTATCTCGGCCAAATAATCTCAGATTTTGGAATTTTATACTATTTTTGACTCGTAAGGATCAGTACTATCGATTGGCATCAGAAAACTAAAAATCTAAATTTTGACCCAAATCGAACAAAAAGCAAGGGGTTACATCACGTTTTTTCCCAAAATCGGGGTAAGTTCGAATATCTCGGCGCGGAGTTATGTCGTTTTGGAGCGTCATATCTCCCGCTTGGAGTTATGTCGTTTTGGAACGTCATATCTCCCGCCTGGAGTTATGTCGTTTTGGAACGTCATATCTCCCGCCTGGAGTTATGTCGTTTTGGAACGTCATATCTCCCGCCTGGAGTTATGTCGTTTTGGAACGTCATATCTTTTTTTCAAAATAGAGGTCGGTGCGAAAATCGAAACTTTTACGATTAATATACCCTGAACCCATCAAAAATGGGTACAAGGGTATATTGTATTTGTGCAAAATCCAAATGTATGTAACAGGCAGGAGGAAGCTTCTCCGACCCCATAAAGTATATATATTCTTGATCAGCATCAATAACCGAGTCGATCTAGCCGTGTCCGTCTGTCTGTCCGTCCGTCCGTCCGTATGTATGAACGTAAGGATCTCAGAACCTATGAGAGCTATAGACTTGAAATTTTAGATGTAGGTCCTCCTAGTGCCTGCGCAGATCGAGTTTGCTTCCGATAATCGATAACTTACTCGGTTTCCAAGCAATCGATAAAAATCGATATCGATATCATGTTTT